CCAGGGGACCGGGGAGATTTTACGATGGTTCCCTTATTAATTTTATCTCCTCCCATTTTGTGTGTTTTTACTGTTTTTTATATGTAGTTGTCTTTATGTTTTTTTTTTTAATTGTTGTATGCCACCCAGAGTCACCTTGTGTGAGATGGGCGACTATATAAATATGATTGATAAATAAATACCTCAAGATAGGATATGAAGTGCCTTTCACTGAATCAGAGCCTGTGGCCAGATTCACTGAATCTAGCCCAGTGTTTCTCAAGCTTGGCAATGTTAAGATGTGTGCACTTCAACTCCCAGAACTGAGAATTCCCCATGCTGGCTGGAGAATTCTGGAAGTTGAAGTCCATACCTCTTGAAGTTGCCAAGGCTGAGAAACAATGATCCAGCCAAACATTGTCAAAGCAAGTGACAGCAGATTCCAGGGTTTCAGGCACACATTTTTCAGTTTTACTTGGAAATGTCAAGGACCAAATCTGTAATCTACACACCTAACTTCTTAGCCACTTCAACACAATTTCCATAAACAAGATTGGCACTCTTTGGCTTGATATTTAATGTACTATAGTAACTGGGCAGACCTTTGGTCAAGTTCAAGCACCTGATGGAGAAAGAATCCTCCAAAGAGTGTTTTCACTCCAGGGGATAGAAACCCTAATAACCATGGTTGCAATTCACATCCTGGTTCCGGGTAATAAGCTCTACTTAACTAAAGAGAACTTGAATAAACATGGTCAGACATGTTTAAAAGCATGATATCAAATTGCACTCATACATTTCTCTTATGTTTCTGGTAAAATTCTATGTTAATTTTTTAATGGTTAGTGACTCCTTATTGTTTTTATTAAAGTAGCTTCATCAGAAATTTACAGTGGCTGCTAGAAGCTACAATGAGCCATCTAGTGGTAAGAAAACACAATCAAATGTGAGATATCCCCACAACAAATGTAATACTGTGTATGTGAAATTAGCATGAATTTAACATGTGTTAGCACATGTATGCATATATATGTAAGGGAAACCGGGAAGAGCTTTCAAAGCATCCACAGGACAAGCTTTACAAATACTGTATTTAATATTATAACAAATATTAAAGATTCAAAGAGAAATGCTTTGAATCTGTTTCCACCTGTTGCAAAGCATCTTTTTGGAAAACTCTGCATAGCCTTAATCTATACTGTTTTATTTCTCTCATCTTCCCTGTCACATGGCATACAATAAAGAGGATGAAAACAAACAGACTGAAATAGCAAGTTTTTTAGTCTTAGCAGAGACAGTCTGCAGAAGTAGATGCTTCCAAGCTAGTAGCACAACAATAAAAGAATGCTACAACTAAAAGAATAAAAGTTAAATTATATTAAAGGGTATTCGGAACAATGTTTGATTATCAAACTCAAAGTATTTGTACATAAATATTTCCTGAAACAGAGGTCATTATAAAAGGAGATTTATTTAAGTAAAATGCATTTGAAACAGAAGACATAAATACTTCAAAAACTTTGGAACCCTTTTCTGAATAACTACAGAATACTCCTAATTCTTTCAGAACTCATGATTATTTTGAGCCACTAGTTCACATTTCCTGCTATTGGTTGCATGAGGTTATTTCTTACCAAATGTGATGTCTATAACTGGTTCAGATCCATCATGTTTTACCTCTGTTTTCACATTGCAGTTCAAGTTTGATTTGTATGCCTTCTTTTCAAATAGGCATTGAAGAAAATTTCTGAAAAGAGGTTGGTGAAAGAGATATCAAGAAAATCTGTCAAGAATGTATTCACCTATCTCGTCAACAAGTTAGGTTACATAGCTATTACATACAAAGCAGCAACTTCTTGTTTTCATGTAAAGGATAAAATACTATAGCCATCCCATGGTTCAACATTTCATGTGAATCCAGGCAAGAGTCAAACTGTAGTTAAAGATCGCATTAACCACAATATGATCATGGGTACGGTAGGTACAGCCATGATCTAGATGTCATCTGACCTGACTTATGATTAAGCAGGCATGATGGCTGGCTTATAGTTAAATTGCCATTAATACTCCCAGAAATTTATTTTAAGATGTAGGACCACCTATACAGATGCTCCTGCAGCACAATCTCCATTCCTCCCATTTGTTTTCCCACCACCTGCTCAAGAGGATGATGGCTGATCATATTCCAGGTCTATTTTAATCAGGGTTTAGGCCTGAATCTTGGTAGGTAGGGATTAGAACACTGCTGCATTTTCTGGACATCTCAGATTCCCAGTATCACCAACCATGATTTTCTTCTTCAGGGTGCTCATGGGAACTGAAATTTACTACATCAGAACAGTGTTTCTCAACCTTGGCTGGGGAATCCTGGGAGTAGAAGTTCACATATCTTAAAGTTGCCAAGGTTGAGAAACCCTACATTAGAAGATGCCAGATTGGAGAAGCCTGGAATATATTCCATATCTGTGACAGGCAGAAATTCAACAAAGGAAGCTTTCCCATCACAGCTGTCCATGCTAGGGAAGTCTACACAGTACCATTCTGTGCAGCTTATACAAGACACAGCTGCCAGAAAAAATAGATAGCCAGAAGAATGGCAATATTGCTCACCAGGTTTATGCTGCGGAACACTTTAAAATCTATCTGGACCCTGTTCCCTATTCATGGGTCATGCTTCTGAGCATGTACAAAGAGCGTTTCCTCCCGCTACGGAGTAATCACATCTCTCCACGCAAACAGGATTAAGTGCAAAAGTTACGATCCACCTGCCCTTTCAAGACAGGATAACCTTCCATCGTGTTTCTTTCTTTGTTTCCCACAAAGTAAAAAGGAATCAACAGGCACAAAAACCTGAGCATCGTTGCACTCATCCAACTGCGTCCAGGTTATTTCTTCCTCAATCCCGCTCTGTTGCCCGGGATTTAGCCCCAAACGAGCACGCAGCGCATCCCAAGGATAATCGCTGCCAACGGCGCTGTTTTCTCAGCCTGCAATCCCCGTTGCACCCAAAAGGCTCCCACGTCAAAAAGCCTTCCCTTTTACAGTCCAATCCGGAAGGCCCGGACTGGCTCTGAAAGCGCTGCAAGCCTCCCTCGCGATCCTTCTCACCTGGTGCTTTGCACGTTGGACTCGAAAGGGCAAAAAGTGACCAAGACACTCTTCACCTGCTTGAGGGACACACCGGCCCGCTTCGGGAACACGTACGCCATTTTCTCCCACGGCCTGTTAGAAACCGGAAGACTGCAATTCCCAGAATCCCACTCAGGGGGCTTATGCGCAGAGAGGTGTCCGTGCGCGCAGCCTTCTGGGAAACGTAGTTGAAGACCTTTGCTGGGGCCGTGCGCTTGTTTCCTAAGTTTTATTTCTGGGAGCCGTTTACCCGTCGTTAATTAGTGCGACTTGCCGGGTTGGTATAATAGGCAGAACCATAAGCCAACAACCCGAGTTGGATCTAGGTTTACAACATGAGTGGCTAGTTCGTAATTCAGTGTGTCGTGGGAACTTGTGTTGCCTACACCCTTAAAGAAAAAAAGCCGTCTTTTAGTCCTTTGAGAACGCCTTGCCCATTTAAAGACAATGCTCTTTTGGTAAAGGAAATATACATAAAAATACGTCATAAATTAGAACTCTCAAAACAAAATTCAGCGAAATCCAGTATGTTTGCTGAGCATTCAGTTTGTTTGACCTTTGTGGGAATTACTTCTGAGTAAACATGCTCAGCTTGAAGCTGTAAGAAAGAATATCTTCCGGTGCCCCAATTCTTCCTGTGCTGGTGGATTTGTTTGTTCTCATGCAAACTTGAAAAGTTTAGGGAGTGCATTATGACAGTATTATTATACTGATTTTAAAACTAAGTCCACAAATTGCATTAAGCATTGTGGGGTTTGCTTCATCTTGCGTTTAATGTCTTGTGAACCCAACTCCACGGTGTATTCAATAAACCATGGTAAAGCCAAATATGGTTTAATGTTATGCCAGAACCAGTCTTGATTCACTCATTATGCTGAGTCTCAGTATGTTTCTTCCTTAGGCAAACCCATGGCTTAAACTGCTCTATAAGCCCACTCCTTAAGAGTTGTTCTGTCTACCAGGTTGCTGCTGTGCTCAGTTCACGACACTGCTTCTTACATTTAGGCCCCTAAATATCCTAAATAGGATCCTAAATACTCTTGTGAGCCGCCCAGAGTTGCTGGGAGTCAGGGCACATACAAATTAGAAGAAGAGGAAGAAGAAGACGATCCTTTTGCTATATCACTTTGCTCATCCTTTAAAACTATCGGGAAGTATAGTTGGAAAAAAAAATCATACAAATTACAATTGCACCCTACAGTGATATATAGAGATCAGAGTCCTCTCTTCTGTGGCCTTTCATTTGTTCAGTACTGTGGCTTGAGGGTAAACAGTGACACTTTTGGCCCCAAATCAAAAGCTGTTTCTTTTGCAATTGATGTTATGTAACATAGTTTCTTATGGAAAATCTTGAAATGTATTGATGTTAAATTTGCTTGGATAGATGCAAATCTACTTTCATTGAACATACATTAAGCCTTCATCCACATGATGGCAGCCTTTGCCCACAACACTTCATATACAAGATGATTTTTTTTTTAAAAAATCAATAAATGTATTTTCTAAACTATAATGCAGCTTTTCCCAGTTGGGTACTCTCCAAATGTGTTGAGCTACACCTTGCCCACTTTCTTTCACCTAGTTAAGAATAATGGGTGTTCACTATATCTAGAACATGGCTGGCTGGGGAATTCTGGGAGTTGAAGTCCACATATCTTAAAATTAGGAAAGGCTGCTTTGAAGAATCTTGGAATATGTTAAAGTTATTTATTATGGCATATCCTTTCTTAGATATATAAAACTGGATCAAGTTCACAACACTCAGTCTACACCATAGTAAGCCTTTTGGCCTATAGTGCAATCAGACTTGCCTGTTTGCTGTAACAAACTAATATGCTTCTGCTTCTTGAAGTTAATCCAATAATAGATCAATGAAACATTTATTGTCTAAGGGGCTTTGGTGAATGTTAAAGACTAGGTTTCTCCTCCCACTATATTAAATAGAAAATATATGATCCACTGCTATTACTATTGATATAATGATGATTTTCAAGGCTTCTAATGCAGAAGGTAATGCAGAATAGAAGAAAATGAGAAAAATTTAGCCTACACTTTATAATCTATGGCAACGATGTATAGGAGGAAAAATTAAAATGGTTAAACTGTATATTACTACTTTTAGGGCAAGGAAAAGCTCATATTTTCTCTGCATTTAAAATGCACAAAGTGGAATGTGGATGCAAGAAGGGAAAATGCTCTAATACTTGGGGATCTGTGGGGTGGGAGAGATGAAAAAGGTCAAAATGGTGGCTGCAACTGTGTGACTGAAGTCCCAAGCCCTTTAAAAGCACATTCTATACGTATGTGAGTTGCACACACAAAAGAGTGTGGCTTTGATTACACAGAGCTGCCACCATTTTGACATGCTGACTGGGGAATTCTGGGAGTTGAAGCCCATGCATCTTAAAGTTGCCAAGGTTGAGAAACACTCACGACCAATTCGGTTCGCGACCAGAGTCGTGGAACAAATTAAGTTCGTGAACCGAGGTACCACTGTATATAATTTTCATAACTGAAAGGAAATTGCTAAATTCTAAATGCTGACAAATCAGAATTAGTATTTTCACCCATTTCGGTTTGCAAAGCCTCTCAGAGGATATGAAATTTTGGGGGCATTTCAGCCACCCGTCACTGACATACCATGGTGTTACTCCCTTTGATTAAATTAGCATTGGCATCCAAAGTTGAGAAGCCCCTGTAGTCATGAAGTATGTGGCATAATCCAAGAGTCTGGAGTGCCCTCTGGGTAGAAAAGTAGAAAATGCAACAACATTAACAACAGGAACAAGGTATGTGGGAGAAATAAACATATCATTGCAAAACATAAAGCTTCTGGTGGCCTCTTGATTGAGTCCCTTATACACATATATAAACATGAATTAATACATTAAATCATATGGTACTTTAAGCCACTGCTGTCAGTTTTTGAATTGGCCCAGAGGTGCAAGACTGCATTTGCCAGTTAAAGCAGAGATGATAATATGAGATTCTGCTTATAAAACCTGGAAGTGACAGGAACAGCCCTGTTTGTCAACAGCATCCTCCAGAGGTTAAACATTCTGGGAACTGCAGTTTCAACATCTTTGAAATGTGCCTGTTCAAAAAGACTATACTTTAGTCTATCAACCAAACATCACAGCTATAAATACAATACAATGGGCCTATTCACAGGGGAAAGTTCAGACATTACAAAATTATTTAACTTCATTCTGTGCTGAAACATCCACTTGGCTTTCTTAAAAGAAATGACCTCACCCAAATGTTGCATCGAGAAAGCCTTTTAACTGATTTTTTGAAATAGCAAAATATCTGATAAACATTTCTAAGTGGTATTGATCTTGGACCGATTGAGAATGACTTCTTAGATGCCCTGCAATTTTCTGGCATATGTTGATATTTATATTTCTGATAAATAAGAATGCAGTTAATGCACATGTTGAACTAAGACATGGTTTGTTTCACTGTAGATTATTAAATAAACCACAGTTAACTGGCTTCAGCTATTTCATTAAACAATAAACCAGGGACTGGCAACCAAATATCCCAGAAATGCTTCCAAATTCTTTTTCTTTTACAGCTGCAGGGCAAACTCCTACCACATTTGCGAAAAATAATTGGTAATATTAACTTTTTCAGGTATAAACTCACAAAAAACATAAGTGTCGGGGGGGGGGGGGGGGGGAAAACTTCAATCCTCCTCCACCCAAAACCAAAAAAAAAAAAGTGGCTGGGGGGGGGGGGGAGGAAGAAATACTCAAATCTACTCCACCCAAAACCAAAAAAAAAAAAGTGGCTGGGGGG